AACAACAATTAGTAATAATAATTAGCTACTTCTTCAGAATAGAATTTGATTTTTACCCAATTTTTTTGTTGAAATTTAGCTAGTCAAATTATGGCTTCATTCGATTGTTTTATTTTAACTTCTGATCTTTATTAATCATATTCAACTATTGGGCAGCTAGATAACTTCTGATCTTTATTAATCATATTCAACTATTGGGCAGCTAGATAACTTCTGATCTTTATCAATCATATTCAACTATTGGACAGCTAGATAACTTCTGATCCTTATCGATTATTCATTTATCGAGTATTATTCTACTTTACTTTGCTGTATGCTACGTATAATTTTGACCATAGCTTTTTTCATATCCATCAAAAATATGGAAACGTTATTATGAAATACGGTAGGCATTTCACTTAGATAGAAAGGTAATATAATTCAGAACTAAAATAGATAATAATAAATGATTATTTTAGTCATTGAACATGCATTATCAATTGATCCTTCACTGTTATCATTGGATGATAATTTATTGGGAATGGGAATAAATGGTCAAAATATTTGTACAACTGATGTGATGCTGAAAAAGTTCAATTTTTTCTATTGGCAATATTTAAATTCTGTTAGTTTTACCAACATATTTTAATGAATTTTACAAAAATGTAAAGATTTAAATTAAACTAAATGATAGATGATTTAATTTCATCTAACACTAATAGGCTAATTAGTTAACTGATAAGGTAACTGGAAAGAGAGAGAGAGAGTTAGCTTATTGATAAGGGAACTAGGGAGAGAGTTAAATGGTATTCAAAGTTTTTAATGGTATCAATGATATCAAAGTTTTAATGATAATGATATTCAGAGCATAAATGATATTCAATCTTTTATTTTTCTTTTTTCATTATTTTCAACTTCCGTTTGTTTTTTTTTCTCTCTCTCTCTTCCATTTTTTGTGTTTTTGATTGTTGTTATAGTATTCACCGAAATATGCAAATTTGGTTCATGTTCCGGCTGGTATCGATATTCGAACATGTGGACATTGTGTACATTTCAAATGTTTCCAGCATTATATGAGACAAAACGGAAATGTTCGTGATTTCATTGATAACTATAGCTGTTAATATATATAGAATAAATGATATTTTTCTCGTTATTAATATCATAACAATCATCCGGTATAGTAAAAAAGAAAAAAAAACGGAAACTCAAAAAAAAAAACCGGAAATTTTTTTTTTCATTTTTCGACTCTTCTAACTTAATCCATCCTTTTTTCGTTTTTTTTTTTTTTAGCTAACATGCTAAATTTATCACTTACTATTTTACTCTGTGCTGATTATTTTGTTTATATATTTTAGAATTCTTTTTTTTTACTCTTACAAATTATCTTTAAATATTATTTTTATTATTTTAATAAAAATAAGAAAAAAAACACCAAATTAGATGATCAAATAATGTAATTTTTAGTTCTAATAAGTACAAATTTATTTCTATTAATGCTTTATTTGATCAAAGATTATTTGATTAATGTAAAATTATTTGTTACTTTAAATATTCGTTAATTTTTTTAATTTTTTCCCCATACACTACTATTATTAATTTTAGTTTTTTTTTTTGTTTTTCATCTTATCATAAAAAGTATTAATCTATTTCAGTATGATCCAGAATCAATGAATAATTCACATCCAATGGAATGGTTAATAAGATTTTTATGTCCAATATGTTTTGTAGTAGTTCATTGTGTATTACCTATTATTCCGGAAATTAAATTCAAACAAAAACGGTTTAGTTTAATTTAATTTCATCATTTTTTAATCTATTTTGATTATTTTATTTTAGTAATTTGTTATCATAGAAATTATTTGTATTATTTATCACAGATTGTGTATACATAGCAAAAAAAGTGACAAACTATTGATAGCAACAATAATTGACAAATATATATGGTGTGGTATTGATCAAATTAACGAAAAAATATTTCAAAAGATACAAAAATTGGGAATAGAAGTGCAATTTACTCGAGATTCCATGAATAAAATTGTAATTGTATGTATTTAATGCATGAATAAAATTGTTATTTAATTTGTTTGTTATTTATTCATTATTGTTTATTTTTCATTGTTCGTTTGTTGTTTATTGTTCATTGTTTATTGTTTACTGTTCATTGTTTATTGTTTATTTTTTATTTTTTATTTTGTAATACATTTGTTGTTCGTTTTTCTAAAATTTAACAATTTCTTTTTTTATTGTTTATTGTTTATTGTTTATTTTTTATTTTGTAATACATTTATTGTTCCTTTTTCTAAAATTTAACAATTTCTTTTTTTATT